ACTACTTGGCTTTTAGGTACTGTTCAACAGACATTCATGGAATGGCTTTCTAACATTTAAAAGAGCAATCCTAATAAACTTTGGGATTTAATCTTACTAGCATTCCCTACAAGGTATATATCAAGGATTACATAGCAAGGTTTTCACATTTTCACATTAAAATACTTACACCATGTAATTATTAAAGAAATCCATTTTAAGCTATTCATCTCCACATTCTAAGAACAAGTGGGTACAATAATGGTAGACCCCCAAACTGCTGATTTTTAAAATAGTCTGTCATTTGGGACATGTTTGTTTTGGGTAACTGAATTCTTACAGGTATTCTTAGAACAAGTAAGAGCTTCTTCTCCAGGATACTGGGAAATGCTGTCATGGGAAAGCCTTTGAGTTTTGACGCATGGTCAGTCCACAGAACCCTGTGTTGGTCACTGCTCTGCAAGATTCCCACTCATTTATTGAGAGGTCTCTTCCTTTCCCTCCTTCTCTCTGTAACACACATATACCCCTCTTCCTTCTCATTTCTACCTTTGGCTACTTAATGTTATAATGGGATCACTGAAATTTATACCTTGGAAAGAGCTTGAAGATTATCTATTCCAAATTAGATGGAAATATTTCTCTAAATAATGAAATTATTTCATTCATTATTTAGAGTGAAATAATGTGCTTTGGGTCACTCTTAGGAAACTTTTAAAAGATATGGGGCCAAACACTAAATCTGTGTCACCCAAAGAAATTGGGACCTAGCCGTCTTGAAACCTTTACCACCTAGTGCTTCAGTTTCATTTCTGTTTCCAAACTTCCTATCTTCCATTAAATCCCTGTCTCACCACTGAGAAACTTCCCCAGGTCCTTAGCACTGACCTGTCTGCCTGCCATTGACCAATTCCCCTGCACTGTTCCGTCTGAATCCCACGACTTCTCTTATCTTCCTTGGCAATTTCATTGTTAATTCCGGTTTTTCTTACCCAATACGGCACCTGTCAAAACCACACAGCTCCTTTATTTTAAACTTTTCTACAACTGTTAGCAAAGTTCGCATGTGACACCGAAGCTGGTGATGGAGATTACTGCAGCGTCCTGTTCTTTCCACCTAGGAAGACAGAAGGCTTCTGTGGCCCTGCTGTGTGCTATACTCAATGTGATAAAACATAAATATTTTCTTCTCAAGCAGGCAGGCAATTCCTCAAGCTATATGACCAATCAAATTCTAATGCTTACAAACTAAGCAAGAGATGTGTAGCAAAGCTCACTGACATACCTACACATGCTAAATTCCACTCTGTACCAGAAGCATTAATAGTCTATCTAGCTCCAGAGGGAAAATACTGATGAATGGGGACTTGCCCTTTCTTGTTTTTGCAAGGTGCTAAATGGAGAATGAGGTGATGAAAAAGTTACCAATAAACAATCCAAGTAGATCTAGGAAGAGGGTTCACTTGGTAAAGTGTTTGTCCTGCAAGCAGGAGGACCTGGGTTTAATCCCCAAACCCATGGAAAAATGCCAGGCTCAGGGGCAGGCACTCGTAATCCCAGAGTTCGGGGGCAGAAATCAACAGATCCCTGGGCCTCGCTGGCTGGCCCATCTAGCCTACTTGGTGAGCTCCAGGTCAATGAGAGATCATGTTTCAAAAACCAAAATGAGGGCTGGATAGAGGGCTCAGTGGTTAAGAACACTTGATGTTCTTCCAGAGGACCCGCATTTGACTCTAGCACACACATGACCCCTAACAACTGTCCATAACTCCAGTTCCAGGGGATCTGACACTCTCTTCTGGCTCTGCAGAGCAATGCATGCATGTAGTATACTTACATATGTGCAGGCAAAACACCCAAACACATAAAATAAAAATAATAAATGAAATATTTTTAAAAAATAAAATCAAGGTGGACAGTATCTGAGGACTAACAGTCAAGGTTGGCCTTTGACCTGCGCACACAAAAATACACACATCCCTATTTGCCCACACGTCACAAATTCTACATGCATGCACGCACGCACACCCCAACACACACAAAACCCAAACAAATCAAAATCACCTATTCAGTATAGAGTTAAACACGTAGATTCTGCAGGTCAGCTCCACAGCCAGTCTTGTCCCCACCACGAGCAGGGAAATGACTTGGGACACATTAAACCCTACGTTCAGTTTCTTCACCTGGTTGGTGGTTGGATAACCAAAGCACTCACCTCACAGAGTTGCCACGAGGATTAAATAAACTAATATTCATAAAGTCACCTACGTCACTCTTTGTCACATACCGAGCACTATATAAATATTTATTAACTAGGTCCTCGGTTTGAACAACCATGCTGGGTGTCTGCTGACCTTAGAGACACAGAGGTGGGAGCTGGAGAGTTGGTTCAGCAGTTAAGAACACTGGCTGCTCTTGCAGAGGACTAGGGTTCGATTCCCAGCACCCACACTGCAGCTAATAACGGTCTATAACTCCAGTTCTAGGGGAATCTGACACTCTTTACTGGCCTCCTCGAGCACTGCACCACACGGGTGCACTTACACACATGCAGGCAATATGCTCATACACACAAAATAAAAATAATAAAATATTAAAAAAAAAAACACATAGGTGGTCCCCTCCTGCCTCCCATCAGACACATGCACTCTGCATGTCCCAACATGGCCTGTCTCCAGGAGTTACCTGCAGTCTCTTCACTTCAGGATTTGACAGAAAGATACGCCTGGCCTTCGCTCCATAATGGCCCCTCACACACAGTAGGAAATTGTCTCTCTGCCTTAGAAGAAAAGGCCTATGAAACCACAGAAGTCCCTATTTGCCCACACATCACAAATTCTACCTGCAACTCATAATTAGAACAAAGGGATAATAGGTCACTTACCAAGGTATAAAAAGCCACAGGAAAAGTCTGCTGTAATGGGTGTGGTGTCTTGGGGGAGGGGCTCACGGTACAAAGCAAATCTCCACAGAGCTGTCCAAAGCAGCTGCCCTAAAGTGGCCAAGTGTGACTCCAGCAAGATGCTCAGCTGTGCCAGATTCGATATCCTCAAGGTCCTTGAAAAACCACCACTTTGCTAACCCCTTAAGACCCAGGCCTAATGCGCCTTGCAGGAGTATAAACATTAATGTTGATATAGGTTGAGCATCCCCAGTTTGAAAATTTTGGATCAAATATGCTCCAAAATCTGTAATTTTGTTCAGTACAAACCATAGGGAGTTTGAAATCCTTTTGGTCCCAAGCATTTCTAGTCAGCGGGCCTCCAGCTGGATTCTCTTTCCTTGGTTGCTTTTCAATGACTTCCAGGCTGCCCTAATTTCCTGGGGGTTCCCGCTACTCCTCTTGGGGCTCCCCTGCTGGCTGCTCCCCACACTGAGGCTGCTCCCCTGATTCTTCTCTACAACACTCACATTCACTTTCATGGGGAGTTCATGCGGTCTCCTGGCTTAAAGTCCCATTTCCTCCCTGCGAAGTCTCTGAAATGTATAGAAGCTCAGACCAAGAGCATGAATTCCTTAATTCCTGTTCCCACCTGTGAATTTGGGATTGGCACTCTGCTTGGATGTCTAGCAGGATCTGAAATTGAACTTGTAGGAATCCAAAGTCCCCTCCCCCACACCTCCTCCGTATCAGTGTCCCTCATCTCAGTTAATGACAGTCTTCACTTTCAAATTTCATCATGTCCTCATTTCTCTCCCTGCCTCGGCTGGCCTGGAACTTGTGTCACCCCAGGCTGGTCTTGAACTCTAAGTTCTCCTTCTGTTTCAGTCACCCAAGTGCTAGGATCATAGGCATGTGCCTGGCAAGTCCATGAGCTCCACCTTTAAAGCAGGACCTGGCCATCCCCTCTGACTGCCACCTGGCTCCTGTGAGTTCTCCAAGTACTGAAATGCCCTCTTACGCAATGTCCTGCTTTGTCCTTATCTCCCTGTGGTGCCTTCTTAAGCAAGGGTGGTATGCTAAAACATCATGTCAATCCCTTATCCAAACCCTCTAGTTGCTTCTTACCTCACTCAGAAAAGCCAAAAATTCATATGACTACATGGCCCCACATAATCTGAGTGGGCCACCCTGTCTGAGAGCTGTCTGTCCTGTTCTCCCACTTTCCCCTACCAGTCTCCTTATAGGTGTGACACTCTGAATCTTCTGCCTAGACCCATGTCTCAGATACCCATGGGGTCCATTCCTTACCACCTTCACATCTCTGCCCCAAATTCACCTACCTGTGTCCCTGCACGCCTTTTGAAAACAACAAACCATACTAGTACCCTCATTCTGTTTCCTTGCTTTCTTTTTCAGTATGACTTCTCTTGCTTTATAAGTTCTACTTTCTTAGAGGAATGACTTTTATAAAATGGACAGAATCTGGACTAATGCCTTTAATCTTGCAACCAAAAGCTACTGCAAACTCACTGACCATGTGCTCTTGTGACCTGAGTGCCTGACCTTGATCCCTCCAAACTGCAATTTGCCGTTCCACCCAAGATAGCGAGTGAGTGTGGGTATTCTTGAGAATTAACAAACCAAAGCACTGAAAGGCAATGCATCTTCATTCAAAACAATGAAGACTGAGAATACTTGACACTGTATGAGATGAGATGTTTTGGGTGTAGGAATGAAAGGGAAAGACTGTCTGATAAATAAGGGTGGATCCAAACTTGTAGTTCCTCAATTGAAGCTGGAGAAATGGTTTAGAATAAACTTATGGATGAGGCCCGATTCAACAGCACAGTTTCAGGAGCTATCTGGAGGAACTGGCACCCTCCAAGTTTGGGCCCATTCAAAAATAGGCTATTTATTCTGGTATAACTGTAATGTTGGCATAGTACACTGCACTTAGTTCATCAGAACCCTTATCTTATTTACTCCTATGAGGGTATAAACTCTGTGTGAGTAGGGATTGATGTCTGATCTCTTCGCTGCTGCATTCTGAGTGCCTAGTGAGTGCCTTGCACACAGTGGGCATTGGATAGGGATTTACTGGATGGATGGAAACACCAGCTCATTTGGCTTTTCTTACCTAAGACAGTCATCACTGTCTTCATTAGCTTCATGGGAGCCCGCCGGCGGCTGATGGAGCCACTTGTATGTGGAGACATTACGTTGGTCTTCCTCTTGACATACATGTAGATGCGCAGGTATACCACCGCCATAATGAAGAAGGCCAGGAGGTTGGACACGGTCCAGAAAATGAGGTAACTCCTGCTGTAAATGGGGGCCAGGGATGAGCAGGATGAGATGTTGCAGAGGCAATTCCATCCTAGTGTTGGGACTGCCCCCATGAAAATGGCAATGGCCCACACCAGCAAGATGAGCAGTGTCACCCTCTTTTTGGTCAAGTTGCTGTGGACCCGCATCCTCATGATTGACATGTGCCTCTCGACAGCAATAATCAGCAAATTGGCCAGGGAGGCAGTCAGGCTTGTGTCCAGGAGCCCCTGGCGGAGAAACCAGCGGTTGACAGTCAAAGTTTTTGAGACCGGGCCAGTGTTAAACATCAGGAATACATAGGCTATTCCAGCAAAGAAATCTGCAGCAGCTAAGTTAGCCAACAGGTAGTAGAAGGGGAAGTGGAACTTTCTGTTTTTGATCACGGCTGCAATGACCAGAGAATTAGAAAAAAATATAAACAGGCAGAAAAATGTCCCAACACACAAGACAATCAAAAGTTTTGTCCCCGTCCACTCATCAGCGGTTTCAGTGTTACTCCTGTTATAAAAAAAGTCCATCCGCTTCTCATAGTGACACTCATTCATCGTGGAGAAGAGTTGAACATCCTAGAAGGAAATTTAAAGAAGAAACAAGCATCACTCTGGGTGAAATCAGTTGCTAAACCACTGACCACTGGTAGGCCTCTCCTTTAACTAACTCCTATTAATCCTAGGTCTCAATTTAAGTGTCCCTTTTGCTCCAGTACATTCACCCCTAACCTCCTACCATGGCATCTAGCTTACATGCAAACTGTTTCCCAGGGTAGGCTGAAAGTTCAGTGAGGGAGGGTCTGTGTCTATTTTCTTTTCCATTATAAATAGCCTCAGAACCAAGTTACTTGGCTGCCTCATGACAGGTGATTGAATGGTTGGCTGAATGAATGGATGAATGAATGGTCAGGAAGAAATCAATTATGTCAGATGATAAGTCCTTCAGTTCCCACTCGGCTCTGGTAACAACTACAATGCAGCATAAACCATTGATGAACGCTTTCTCCTGGTGGCTTCCAGTTCATTTCATATTTATGGGGTCTGTTCAGTAATCAACACAGGCTGGTAGCACCAGGCACATTTCTTTCCAAGATAACAATATTCAATTACACTTCATGAAGCCGAATGCCTTCGCTAAGAGATAACCCTCCTCTGCTTCTGAGTCCTGTCCTGATCCTTCTTTCACCATCGTTCAGTTTCATGCTACAGTCACATTCACTGATCTGGCCTATGGTGTAGGGAGGGAGCCTTTGATATCAACATCCCTTCCCTATCTGTTTATTCACCCTTTCCTCATAGTCTTTCAATCCAAACCGCACCAGTGTGAATGTGTGTACTGGATTTTCCAACCCAATCACTTTAGTTTCTTTCCCAAGAGAGTCTCTCATGAGCAGGTGGCAGAGGACAGGGCCTCCACAGATGAGACTGAGATCCAGGGGGATTGGGCAGGTATCCAACCCAATGCAGAGATGTTAGACTTCACTTGCCATGTAAAGGCAAGTCCTTGGGATATGTGTGAAAGGAGACTCCAAAAGTGGTATCAGGCTGCAATGAAGACACTAGTCCTCTCAGTACAAGATCTTTTAGACCCCAAAGATAAGAGATTCTAGTTAAGGCAAGGGCTCCAAAGATGTCCATTGCCTATGTTTGGTGTTCTGCCTCATAGTTCCCGGCCACAGCTATGAATGGTCCCATCAATAATCCCTGGGGTTGAAGGCCAAGATTCTAGCTTCTGGCTAGAAGGACTGTGAGATCCTTCACAAGAAACAAGCTTGGAATTTGTTCACAGAAGAACCACAGACTCAGCAGGTTTAGGAGCTGAACTGTCCACTCGTGGGAATGAAGTGGCTCTAACAGAGAAAGTAGAGAAGAAATCCCAAGCTTTCAAAGTTCCTACAGATTCTAGAATCTGATCCCACATTCAAAGTCAGGATAAGAAGCCCAGACAGCAATTTTAAGTAATACAAAACAGAGATATATGTCAGTCTGCTTTCTAATTTTTATTTTAATGATATAATGACATTTATACGTGAATTAAATACTTGTTCTCTGCCATTCAAAGGGAGGTAAAATATCACTTGATATACTTAATAATTGAGGGAGTCTCAAAAGACAAATGTTCTTATGCCTTTAAATTATAAGAAAGGGGGACTATCTCCAGTGAATCTGGAGCTGTGGTCCCTTCCCGTGAGATGAGGCTGTGGTCCTCTCCTACAAACTGGAGTTGTGGTCCCCTCCCATGAGCTGGAGTTCTGGTCCCCTCCTGTGAGCCTGGAGCTATGATTCCCAAACACGAGTCATGGTTCCACATTCCTCTGGTGGTGGGCTGATGGTGGAGCAGATTGGAAGATGGGAGACTTCCTGATGCTGGAGAAATGGCTCAGTAGGTACCTGAGTTCAGATTCCCAGTACCATGCAAAATGCTAAGGGCAGAGGCCTAGGCCTGTAATCCCAGCACCAGGGAGATAAAGACAGAAGGAGCTCTGGAACTTGCTGCAGTGAGCTCCAGATTCAGTGAAAGACCCTGTCTCAAAAAGTAAGGTTGAATGGGACTGGAGAGATGGTTCAGCAGTTAGAAGCACTGGCTGCTCTCACAGAGGACCCAGGTTTGTTTCCTGGCAGCCACAGTGGCTAACAACCATCTGTAACTCCAGATCTAGGGGATACTACACCCTCTTCTGGACTCCAAAGGCATTGTACATGTGGATACACTTACATATACGCAGGCAAAACACTCATAAAAATAAAAATAAAATAGAATTTTAAATAAGGTGAAGAACAATTGAGGAGGACATCCGACATCAACCTCTGGCCTCCACGCACACAAGCACACATGTGCACATATATGCATGAACACATACACATACAGAAAACACACAGATATAATTTGAATAGATTTTTAACATTCCATTGTAAATGTCACACTTAACTAATTCCTAAATAAACACTGAGGTTATTTTCAGTGTTTGACCTTAATAAGCAATTAATCTTTACAACATGGCCAGTTATTTCTCTAAGAATAATTTGTAATTTTCAGATTGAGGTAGGGGATATAAATGTATCTGAAGGTTTCTAATACATCTTATCAAACTGCATGAAAATGACTGTATTTCTAACTCTACCAACAGCATAGGAGAAGATAGTAACCAAATAGAATTCTACTAAATATATAAGGAGAAAATTCAACTTTCAACCATGTTGGAACTATATAAAAATTCAAGACAATCCAGAAGACATATGCTGTGAAAGATCTGTGTCCCTCTGCAAGTTCATGTTGAAATCGCACACGTGGTGGTAATGTTAATAGGTAGGTGCTTATACAATTAAGTCATAACTACTCTACCCTCATCACTGGACTAACATCCTCATAAAAGACCCCCGAAGGAGCTTTGGATTCTTTTTTTTTCTGACAGTCTACCACATATACAAACTACACCAAGGCACCATATTTATTATTATTATTATTATTATTATTATTATTATTGGTCTTTTTGAGAACTGACTGCCTCTGCCTCCCGAGTGCTGGGATTAAAGGCATGCACCACCATGCCCGGCTTATCCAAGGCACCATTTTTAAAGTAGAGACTCAAACCTCACCAGACACCAAATCTAATGGTGCCTTGATCCTAGACTTTCCAGTTCTAGAACACTGTTTCTAAATCACTCAGTCTAGGCCAGGCATGGTGGCACAGGCCTTTAATCCCAAGTACTCAGGGGAGAAGAGCAGAAGCAGTCGGATCTCTGTGAGTTCAAGGTCAACCTGGTCTACACAGCGAGTTCCAGGCCAGCAGAGCTACACAGTAAGACACTATCTCAAAAAGAAAGAAAGAAAGAAAGAAAGAAAGAAAGAAAGAAAGAAAGAAAGAAAGAAAGAAAGAAAGAAAGAGAGAGAGAAAGAATGAGAAAAAGAAAGAAGCCACATGAGAAATTTCAGTGATACAATTATGTTCCTTTCACTAATTACAAATAATTTATGAGCTTCACTTTGTTATATGCTCTAGATAGCTAAGAGAAACACTTTTCTAATTTAAATGTAATATTACCTCTAAATTATTAGAAATATCAAGATTAATAGGCCACAAGAACATTAGAATCCAAATATGCAAAAAATGTTAATTTTTTTCTTATTTTTAAAAGAAATGTTAAATTGTTTTGATTGCTATATTTGGTCAAATTTGTGATTGTATGAGGCACTGAAATCTCAATAGTTTGTACTTCAAAAATCTTCAAATTCTATTTTTCTTCCCTAAGAAGCAAAGTAATACAGTCTTAATTATGCTATTTTGGCAAAAATTTTTACGAGTCTAGTAGTTTATCTCGAAAAAGTTGAGATATCACAGAAAAGTTATGATTGGCCAGGATTCCTGCTAAGCAACTCACATTAGACTCTACATTTTACAGAAACAGACAGTGAGAGCAGCAAAGTTCATACAGGGAATTCGTTGCGTTTTTTTAAGATGAAATATTATGCAGCAAATGCAAATCACAGCATAAAGATGTGACAGCAGATGGTATATTATTTTAATTATAAATAATTACATGCATGTAAACAGGAGCACATACACCTACCCAAGCATATATGTGTAGAGTACCTTTTAAAAGCATACAGAAAAAGTAAGAAAAACAATTCGATTATGCAAACAGCTAATTAAAGATGTCAGGGTTGTGGGTCATTTTTTTAAATACCATTTTTTCTGTGTTCCATATTTTCTGTAATAAGGAAAAAATGACTTTTAAACACCAGTTCACAAATTCTACATATGTCCCTCTTAATGTACTCAACATTTCAATTTTATATCTACTACTTGGAAAAATAAGCTTAATGTTAAAAGGGACCGATGTAGAGATCTGCACACGCTCAGTTTGCCCTTACCAACATAGCACACTGCAGGGCATTTTGCTGACAATAAACATCAAGTGATTTTGACTTGAAACTTTTCATCACCATAAAACTTTCCTTACTGGCAGACCAACTGCATCAGAATATATCTTTCATCAATTCTCCCATAAAAGATTTCCTGTTACCATCACCCCCAGAGCTCCAAAAATGAATACCTAGAAGTTCTGTGATGAATACTTGCAATATTTTCTTTTTTTCTTCTAAATATGCTACCAAGTCTATTGTGGTCCCCAGTGTAGATCAACCACATATTATCATATTTTCTTAGCTAGAAACTACCAAAAACTCTAGCAAGTTTATAACAAATAATCAATTTAGCAATTCTTAACCTCTCTCAAACCTTAAAATACAATTCTGTGATTTCAAACAAACAAGTTATTTCAGTCCTAGCCTTAAGTGCTCTCCACAAGAAACCTCTGACCAATTCAGCCTGCCCATCGGTGTTGGGATTTGAGGGTCCTGTTTTAGCTTTGGCACACCTCCCTACCCTGTAACTTGTTTGATACCCATTATTTTCTTCCATGTTTATGCAGAAGTTAGCAACCAACTCCTACCTTAGACCATTCTGCTCCAGTAGAGCAGGGACCTAGTCTATTATGTGCAGCCTGATAGTGGCAGATTTATGAATGGACAAATGAATCTCTGTCCTCTCCTATGTCCCACTCCCTTTCTAAAATGAAAATTTGAGTTAAGAATG